AGTTTAGACAGGATCCAATTAACCTACCAGCATGTCTTTGGAGTGTGGGAGGAATCTGGAGTACCCAGAGGAAACCCACACAGGCACAGGGAGAACATGCAAACTCCAGGCAGGTGGTGCTGTGGTTGGGATTTGAACCAACAACCCTAGTACTGTCAGGCGGAAGTGCTAACCATTTAGCCACTGTGCTGCCTGTACAACATCATTTTAGCCTAGACTAGAAACCAGGAAGCAACTGAAGAAATGTAAAAAAAAATAGTTTAAAATGAATATATATAATATACCTTCCTATCTATTTACTACAGCTGACAACATAAGGATTATGTGCTGCTCCTAACATCAGAACTTTGATTGAAATAAAATTTGATTAGATTAGTATATGATCTATTCTTCAGATATCTTCATCTTTTAGATCTCATGTCTCTGATGTATGTGTTTTTTTGTGTGTGTTTGTTTTTGTTTTTTTTAACCTTCTCAGCCTCTTGAGTGGAAATTAGACTGCAAATGTTCTATCGGTTTTGTTTTTTTAAACAAAATTTCCAGCATGCCCGAACATCTTCTCCGGTGATAATGAACATTTCCTTTGCTTGGAAGAAATTGTTACAGTTATGATGTTAACCCCATGTGGCCCAAGTGATGTTTGACTCTTTTGCATCACTTGCCTTTTTTTTTTTTTTTTTTAGGCTGCACACAGTCACCTTCAGAGTCTGCCTGGGGTGATGAGGGATTTGAACATCCTCTGTCGCTACGGCGGTCTCTCTCTGTCTTGTCTCCCGTAACTGGCGATCTGTCCCATGCAAATGGGATAATTACCTAGTTAATTGGAGAGTACCTCCGACATATTGGAAGACCTCTTCAAGGGAAAAAACAGAAGTTATCCTTCACTGGGGGTCTAAGTACAGCCTGATCGTTGTATGTGATGCCGAAAACCATGAAAACGTAGCCTGCCCAGTATTGGCATCGTGATCCGGCCAGTTGCGATTTCTGTTGGCTAGCAGTCCAGGATATCCTGGCACTAACTGCATAAATGAACATACTATGGTCATAAATTCCCCAAAGTCATTGGTTGTAGGCATTTTCTGACCAGCTTGGAAATCTCTGTATGATTCCTTCAGCAGTGGGGAGAAGAAGTTGGAACTGTAGGAAGTGTCAGATAATTTAGTAACATCTGTCAGTTGTTTTCCTATAGCAAAGCCAATGACATATCTGTCAGATCTTTGTCTGAACTGGTCAAAAGGAGAGAACCAAACATTCTGGTTTCACACACAGCAATAGAAATGCTTGTATGATGACTGTATTGGCTGTATACACTGACAGCTGCAGGCTGTCTACACCTCATCTATTCTCCCTACTGCTCACTATGGGAGGGTTTCAGATTTCCTCTGAGGGACCTTTTTATTGGGATCATGACCCCACTAGACTTTTAAGTTCTTGTAGTGAAGCTCAATTTACTTTGGGTGGAGTGAAAATGGGTTTGAACCTCTCTCAGGTTCTTCATTGCCGTATTTATCCAAAATGGGCATAGTCAACTCTACCTTCTGCCCAAATGGACACCAGGACACATCATGAGGGGAAATGAAAAAAGTTTACATTCGTCAGCAGAGCAAGAGTAAAGGGGATGTCTCCAAATGGGAATTCCTATTTGACAGATGTCAAAGGTGGGTTTTCACTTTTATTTTTGGAAGATTTCATGTTGTCTCAGATGAAAAAAGTGGTGGGAAATCTCCCTGATGGGGACATAGGTAATAATAAAACATATTGTTTCTGGGCTGTATTTGGGGTACAAACAACAAATAACAACATTTATTTATTTCAGGTACTTATATAGCGCCGTCAATTTACACAGCACTTTACATTGTTCTTGACGTTCGTTGCTTGCATGCAATCGCTCGTGCCTAGGTTGAACGCAAATTGCTACATTAAGGCTATCGTAACATCAAAAATGTCTTTTTCATCAGACCAATCAAGTCCAGTATTGAAAATACCAAATCGGTAAAGTTATCCACAACACTACATTTATTTATTTATTATAGGTACTTATATAATGCTGTCAATTTACGCAGCACTTTACATATATATTGTACATTCACATCAGTCCCTAACCCTCAAGGGGCGTACAATCTAAGGTCCCTAACTTACATTCATTCATACATACACATACTAGGGACAATTTAGACAGGATCCAATGAACCTACCAGCATGTCTTTGGAGTGTGGGAGGAAACTGGAGTACCCAGAGGAAACCCACGCAGGCACAGGGAGAACATGCAAACTCCAGGCAGGTGGTGCCATGGATGGGATTCAAACCAACGACCCCAGTACTGCCAGGGGAAGTGCTAACCATTTATCCACTGTGCTGCCCAATATCCACATATATGGTATCGCTGTGATCGTCAAGAGCTGGAACATTTATTTTGGGTTGTTCTTTGGTGGTAGGTTATGGTAGTAACAAGAAACTCGCAGCTAAATTTAAATTTTTTTTTTTTTACTATTTATATTATTATTACTATTAAACAGGATTTATATAGCACCAACAGTTTGCTCAGCGCTTTACAATATAATGGGAGACAATACAGCAACAATACAGTTCAATACAAGAGGGATAGAAGGGCCCTGATCCTGGGAGCTTACAATCTAGGAGTTGAACGAAAAATAAAAAACTTCCTGTGTGTACCAGGTTTAAGGAGGAGTTAAATGCTTTGTCGTGTGTTTTTTTTTTTTTTTTTTTTTTTTTTTTGGCTGTCTGTGTTACTTTAGGGAAATTTTCCTCCAAGTGTATGTTACCAAAACAAGTGTCCCCATTGGAAGATTTCCCTTTTATTGCTGGAGTGGTGACAAGTGAATGTTGGATTTCCCATCACTTTCGACAGTCCTGGTCATGATGATAATTTTGTGTACAGCTGCTGTAGGTGAGATAGATATGTAGAATTTTTCATTTGTACAGCTAGAATTAATTCATGCAGACGTGTAAAGTCACTGCACTATGATATCACATGCCATAGATAAAGCTGTTATTTTCCAGCATTTTAGAAATGAGTTGCTGATGGTCATTTTCAGTCAATCCAGGTGATTGTTTATTAGCTATGGTAGGCAGTAGGGATGCACCGAAAGTTTCGGCCAAAAATACCGGCTGATATGAAAATATGTACCAATACAGGTGCCGAGACTAGCCCCGCTCTCTTGATCCGACTTTACATTCTCTGGACCAAAGTCGCACCAAAGTAGTGCAGGTACCTGCTCGCACCAATTTGAATGGGTGCCATTGAAAATAATAGGCTGCGACTTATCAAGCGGCTTTGATGTCCAAAGGCGCATGACAAGTCGCACAAGTGTGAATGGAGCATTAATGGTTGCAACAACATAATCCATCATTCTGATACCACCAAGATCAGGCTGTCGAGGTCTACTATAGGTCATCTATACTATATGGTATCTTTAAAGGCATATTCCATCTTTAAATAATAAATGGACCCACACATAGCCTTGCCGTTACATAGTCTGGCTGAAAAAAGACAAAAGTCCATCCAGTTCAACCATTAAAAAAAAAAAAAAAAAGAAGTTATAATCCTATACCCACAGTTAATCCAGAGGAAGGCAAAAAAACCCAGCAAAAGCACGATCCAATTTGATCAGATTTGGGAAAAAAAATTCCTTCCTGATCCCCCGAGAGGCGATCAGATATTCCCTGGATCAGCTTTCCCTATAAATGTTAGTATCCAGTTATATTCTGTGTATCTAAGAACGAATCCAGGACTTTTTTAAAGCAATCCACTGAGCTGGCCAGAACCAACTCTTGAGGGAGTCTATTCCACATTTTCACAGCTCTTACTGTGAAAGAAACCTTTCTGTGTTTGGAGATTACATTTCTTTTCCTCCAGATGTAAAGCGTGCCCCCTTGTCCTCTGTGATGACCTCAGGGGGAATAACTCTACACCAAGTTCACTATATGAACCACTGATGTATTTATACATGGAGATCATATCCCCCCCTTATGTATTATACATGGAGATCATATCCCCCCCTTATGTATTATACATGGTGATCATATCCCCCCTTATGTATTATACATTATAGATGGAGATCATATCCCCCCTTATGTATTATACATGGTGATCATATCCCCCCCTTATGTATTATACATACATGGTGATCATATCCCCCCTTATGTATTATACATGGAGATCATACCCCCCTTATGTATTATACATGGAGATCATATCCCCCCCTTATGTATTATACATGGAGATCATATCCCCCCTTATGTATTATACATGGAGATCATATCCCCCCTTATGTATTATACATGGAGATCATATCCCCCTTATGTATTATACATGGAGATCATATCCCCCTTATGTATTATACATGGAGATCATATCCCCCCTTATGTATTATAGATGGAGATCATATCCCCCTTATGTATTATACATGGAGATCATATCCCCCTTATGTATTATACATGGAGATCATATCCCCCCTTATGTATTATACATGGTGATCATAGCCCTCCCTTATGTATTATACATGGAGATCATATCCCCCCTTATGTATTATACATGGAGATCATATCCCCCCTTATGTATTATACATGGAGATCATATCCCCCCTTATGTATTATACATGGAGATCATATCCCCCCTTATGTATTATAGATGGAGATCATATCCCCCTTATGTATTATACATGGAGATCATATCCCCCTTATGTATTATACATGGAGATCATATCCCCCCTTATGTATTATACATGGTGATCATATCCCCCTTATGTATTATACATGGAGATCATATCCCCCCTTATGTATTATACATGGAGATCATATCCCCCCTTATGTATTATACATGGAGATCATATCCCCCCTTATATATTATACATGGTGATCATATCCCCCCTTATGTATTATACATGGAGATCATATCCCCCCTTGTGTATTAGGCTGTTTTTTTGGTAAAGGTGAACTTAACCTCCCTAGCGGTATTCCCGAGTGTAGCTCGGTGTAAAATGTCAGTACCAAAAGCGGTAACCCCGGGCTTACCATGCGGCGTTGCTCTGGGATTCCCTGCAGCGCTTACCTTGTCCTTCGCTCCCACGATGTGTCCCCTGCAGCGTCCCCGGCCATCTCCTCCGGCCGATGCCAGCATCTGGCTTCCGTGTTCCAGTCCCTGTGACGTCGGGACGTACAGGGTGCCGGAACCGGCGGCAAATTTGAAATTTTTAAAAAATATAATTTTTTTTAAAAATGATTATTATATAGTAAAACATTGCTGTTTCAATGCATTTCACATACATTTTGTCCCGAGTGCTGTGTCCTGTGCCCTGCCTGCATTTTTACTGTTCTTTCTGCCTGAAACTTAGAAAAGTCCATGGCGTCCAAAAAGCGTCCCTTTAGGTCAAAAGCGGTTTTAGATCGGCTAGAGAACAGCGATAGTAAATCAGAACCACTTGCAGAATTGAGTGATAATGATTCATGGGGGAAATTCGTCATCAGACACTGAAAACGATTTTGCGACTTTGCTCAGCGATGTGCGAATTTGCCTCTGTATTTCAAATTTCAGTGTTTTTGGTTTGATTATATTATTGAATTACATTTATTATTATTATATTATTATTTTTTATGATTATTTATTAAATTATAATTTATGATTTCGTGTTTCAAATTTTATCATACCCGGGATGTTTACTAACTCTTGTTCGGACAGATTTCAGTGAGTTATTCCTAAAAATTACAGCCTACAATAAAAAACTACATATTTGTAGCCTACCCCACCCTCACCTAACGGCCATTCTCCCTCATTCCTCCCACCACTTCATTCCCCTCAGCCACTTCCTATTGTTCCACTACCCCCTCCCTCCTAGATTGTAAGCTTGAAAGATTAGGGCCCTCTTACCCCTCGTACGTTGTCTGTTTTTGTTGTACTGTGCCATGTATTGTCCCCCCTATTGTACAGCGCTGAGCAAACCCTTTGGCGCTATATAAACTCGATGTAATAATAATAATAATAATACATATTTCCATGCAAAAAAATGGTACCGCTTTCAGCACAAAAAATCGGAAATAATCAGACCGCTGAGGAGGTTAAAAGTCAGCCCCAGTCACTTCCTGTAAGAGGGTGACAACGCTGCCCGATGCTGTGGACCCTGTATTGGTCTTGATGACATCCGTAAATCTTTCACAGCTTGTTTTTAAAAAACAGATCTTACTGTTGGAACAGAAGCCTGCAGAAGAAAAAGAATGCATTAGATACAATATATAAAAGAACAGCACTACATAGAAGGTAGGATATGTATAGTATAGTTTTTTTCATATCTACGTTTAGATACATTCTGGGTTTGTCCATGGCACCGTATAGTGCATTTGGCATTAGCAACCTATTTTAATTGTTGGCTTTTTCCAAAACGTTTGTACTTGTTCAGAGGCCTAAGGATCTCTCTAGATATGGCGTGATAAGACATTCTTTAATTCAGCTCATCCATTGAAACAGTTACTACCGTACAACCCTTGTAAGTGATACTATCTGTGTCCCTGTTTATACAAGACCAAGTATGCCAAAGCGGAGAAACGTCCTGTTGTACTGGAGGTGTCGTAGCGCTTTTCTGCGTGCAATTTCTTAAAAAGGAATTATAGCTTATGCTGAGTGTTTGGGGTTTTTTAAAAAAAATTTTCACAGTACAAATGTGTCAAATCACTTTTATAATGTCTATCATTAGTTATCATTAGTTAAAATAAAGTATATATAACCTTTTTTTTTTTTTTCTTCATTTTGGGCAGCACAGTGGTCTAGCAGCTTGCATTTCTGCTTTGCTGCATTGGTGACCCTGGTTTTAATCCCAACCAGGACACCAGCTACCTGCTGGAGTTTGTATGTTCTCCCTGTGCTTGCGTGTGTTTCCCCCGGGTACTCTGGTTGTCCCCTATACACTAGAGGCATGCTGGTAGATTAATTGAAATCGGGTTTAAACTGCCCTAGTTTGTGTATACATGCATGTGAGATAGGTACCTTAGATTGTAAGCTCCTTGATGGCAGGAACTGATGTGAATGTACAATGTGTAAAATGTTGATGCTAAAAAAAAAAAAAATAATAATAATTATATATATATATATATATATATATATATATATATATATATATATATATATAATTTTTTGTTTATTAAAGCAGAGGCCCTAGAGAATAAATTAGCAGGCTCTGCAATTTTGTATTGCAATTTTGTAATTTGCACAGTATTTGCACAGCAGTTTTTCAAACGCAATTTTTTGGGATTTTAATGCAACAAAAAAAAAATACATAACCCAATTTTTTGTAAAATCTAAAAAAAAGATAATGTTACAGCGAGTAAATAGATACCAAACATGTCATGGTTTAAAATTGTGTGCGCCTATGCAATGGCGACAAACGATATAAATTTTACTATTCATAAGTGATGCTTAACCTCCCTGGCGGTATGATTATTTCATATTTTTGGTGCTGAAAGCGGTACATTATTTTGCATGGAAATATGTAGTTTTTTTATTGTAGGCTGTAATTTTTAGGAATAACTCACTGAAATCTGTCTGAACAAGATTCTAAATCATACATTTAATTCAATAATATAATCAAACCAAAAACACTGAAATTTGAAATAGAGCGCCAAGTTCGCACATCGTTGAGCAAAGTCGCAAAATTGTTTTCAGTGTCTGATGACGAATTTCCCCCACGAATCATTATCACTCAATTCTGCAAGTGGTTCTGATTTACTATCGCTGTTCTCTAGCCGGTCTAAAACCGCTTTTGACCTAAAGGGACACTTTTTGGACGCCATGGACTTTTCTACGTTTCCAGGCAGAAAGAACAATCAAAATGCAGACGGGACAGGACAGAGCACTAGGGACAATATGTACGTGAAATGGGTTGAAACAGCAATGTTTTACTATGTAAAATCGTTTTGAAAAAAATTACATTTTTTTTAAATTTTCAAATTTCCCGCCGGCGGCAGCGGCGGCGGCGCCTGTACGTCCCGGCGTCACAGGGACCTGAACACAGGAGGCGGATACCGTCATCCGCCGGAGGAGATGGCCGGGGACGCTGTAGGGGACACTTCGCGGGACCGCAGGACAAGGTAAGTGCTGCAGGGACCCCCTGAGCAGCGCCGCATGGTAAGCCCAAGTGTAGCTCGGGGTTACCGCTTTTGGTATAGACATTTTACCCCGAGCTACACTCGGGAATACCGTTAGGGAGGTTAAAAAAGCCTTTGCAGGTTACCACTTTAGATTTACAGAGGAGGTCCAGTGCTAGAATTACTGCCCATGATCTGACGTTTGTGATGATACTTCACATTGTGGGGTGATTGTTGTTTGCGCGTGCGGGACAGACGTGTTTTTCGCCTATGCGCACGACAGAACGGGGGACACTTTTAATTATTTAATTTTTATTTTTACACTGTTGCTTTATTATTTTTTTTTATCCCTTTTATTGCGGTAACAACAAATGTAAACATCCTTGTAACAACAATAGGCACATGACAGATACTCTTTATGGAGGGATCTGAGGTCAATTAGATCCAAAATCCCTCCTCAGCACTTGAAAGCATTCAAAACACCAAGATCGGTGTTTGAATGCTTTAAATTTTTTAAAAATGGTGCCGTCTTTAGTTCTGAGTAAACCGGAAGTGATCTCAGGTCATCGCTTCCTGGTTTCTATAGTGGATAGGCTATGAAAACTGATACAGCTGATACCAGCCGGCAAACGTGGTGGGACAGGAGAGCCTGAGAGAGCAGCAGGAGGGGACGTCCCTTCCCATTGCTTGTAAAAGCAATTGAGTGGCTAACTAACTGATTTTACAAGAGAGTCGACCCCCCCTGCTCTAAAACAAAAAAAAAAACAAAAAACGGTGCCGGGATAATGCCTGAAACTGCAGACCTCATGCCGGTATAACTGCTTGAAGTCCAGTGACGTACGAGTACATAGCTGGTCTGCAAGCGGTTAAGTATGGACTCATAAAACAAGTGTAGCGCTAATTAAACACAAACATAAATATTTCAACACATAAATGATGAATCTGAGTGATGATGTCACTATGTCTGGCACTGCCCTACACGTTTCACCACAAATGATGTAATTGAGGCCTGGACATCATCAGGGGCTCAATTGTGATGAAACGCGTAGGTAGGATCTGGATGTTGTGCATCATCACACATGTGTACTTATTGGGTCCCAAGTTACTGTGGATGTATAGCACTATTTCTTTGATCCATATGAGTGTTTTTTTAACAGATTTTTAAATATAAATTAGGTTACACATCAGAAGTGCTTGGCTGTTCCTTTATCTCTTTTCTCATACATGTGAGATTCCTGATGAGACTTCATGATATATATATAGTATAGCTTGAGGCTGGTAGGCTGAGTCAGCCACGGCTTCTTCTTCTTTTTTTTTTTTTTGGTGTTGGATACTACTACAGTGTGATCTTCCTGATGTAATTCCTGACTCTTTTTGGAGTTCTTGCCTATCTTTGCTTGTTCCCTATCCATTCTCCATAAAATTAAGTCAATTTCAAACTCAAGAAGAGTGGGGGAACCCCTTAAAATGGTCACAGCAAGTGTGAAGGTTCAGGGACTTGAGAACAGAGATCCCACCAATAGACAACAAGAGATACTTAGAACTTGGTACATGGTACTTGTTACATCTCCAGCATATGTTTTAGCTGGACTTAAGCTGGCCATACACTGACTAATAGAATTTATTTCCTTTTTTTTTTTTAATTTTCTAATCTTTAATGAGTTCAAAATGACCTTAATTTTCAACCGCGGGGACAAGACATTTTGAAGTAGCAGGATGGAAAATGTTTGTTTTTTTGAACAAATTTCTAACAGTGAATGTGGTTTTGGTTCAAGAAAGTACATTCATTTAAAAAACAAAGTTAAAAGAAATGTAGTTTTTTTTTTTTTTACAGTGGTCTCCAAACTGGGGCCCGGGGGCCGAATACAGGCTTTGCTTGCCTTTATCCGGCCCTTGGAGCACTATTCCGCCAACTGACATTTAACAATGGGGCATAATTCCTGCCAATGACATCAACAGTGAGGTACTATTCCTCCCACTGACACCAATGATGGGGCACTATTCCTCCTACTGACACCAATGATGGGGCACTATTCCTCCCACTGACACCAATGATGGGGCACTATTCCTCCCACTGACACCAATGATGGGGCACTATTCTTCCCACTGACACCAATGATGTGGCACTATTCCTCCCACAGATACCAATGATGGGGCACTATTCCTCCCACTGACACCAATGATGGGGCACTATTCTTCCCACTGACACCAATGATGGCGGACTATTCTTCCCACTGACACCAATGAT